GTTTTCTTGATTGAGTCTGTCATTTCCGCGGTTTTGAAAACTGAAAATGGAGGAAATTCGAATTATCGATTGGAATGATCTCTCTCTACTTGGACATGGAGGCAATGGAGTTGTTTTATTGGTCAAAGGATTTCAGCCGTGAGTCAGCGTCTTAGCGTTTAAAATTTACAGCTTCTCAGCGTTTAAAATTTATAACCTTTAGGAAATCAGTTGCAAAATTGATAACGACAACAACAAGAGCTGGTAGAGAGAAGCTAGCAAAAGAGGCGGCATCGCTGAAAAAATTGCGCAATGATTATATCGTGAGATATGTTGGAGAAGCAAAGATCGAGGGTGGAGGTGTTTACACTGAAGGAATATTGATGGAATACTGTGAAAGGGGATCACTCTACGAATGTAAGTAAGACAAAATGCTTTCCCATTTCAAAAATTTAGTAATTCATAGCCCGGAAATTGTTTACTCCATCAAAACAGTGATTTGGTGGGCTGAGCACATGATCAAAGCGTTGGAGTACTTGCAAACAAAAAACATGGTGCATAGGGATATCAAGCCGGCAAAGTTGGACAATTTACAATCACTGACAATACCGAACAATCAATTTCAGTGTTTTGGTGACCCAGGCCTTCTGGCTGAAATTGGCTGATTTTGGGGAGATAAAGGAGATCCAAAAAACTTGCTCAACTTTTACCGATGTTGGGACGCGACGCTATATGAGTCCGGAGCAAACGAGGACCACCGATGTGATAAAGGTTTACATTTCGGAAACATTAATCATTGTAACTATTCAGCTCAATCACAAAAGTGACATTTACAGCATGGGATTAGTGCTTTGGGAGCTGATAGAGAGAAGGTGAAATTAATTGATCAAAAAGTTTAAGCTTAAATCTGATTGTTAGAAAAGTTTTCTCAAAATATGGAAAAGAAGATCTCTACAGCATAAATCCTAACGCCACTCAATTGATCGACCTGGAAAGTTTTGATTGCACTCACGAGATCAGACAAGTTGTTGAAAGGTCAGTCAGTAAATTCTGTCACTATCCAGATTTAGACTAGAATTTTGTCTCCTAGTTTTACTGTCTTACTGTAAATTCAATTGGTTGCCTGCTTGCCATTATTGTTTTTTTTTCAGATGTACAGCGTTTGACATGAATAAGCGGCCCTATGCACGCGAGTTGAAGGCATTACTCCCCAAAAAGGTTTCATTCCAAATCCAAATAAAAAATGACACCTGCAATTGTTAGGAAACGATTACATTGAAGATGAAGCCAGAAGAAGATGAAAAAGAAACCCGCTTGATTAGACCGATTGGCTTTGATGGGACAAAGAATCGGGTCTACATTGAGGGCAGCGGTTACCTCACTCCTCCACCCATACCCACCAGTTCAGCCTCACAATCAGTGGCAGCTCACTCTAGAAAAAGTCCTACTACTTCAAATAGTGGCTTGAAAGCAGTTACAAGTTTGTGTATTGAGTTTTACGATCATAAGGCCAAGTTTTAGGTATACCACTCAAAAAGGAGACAAAGTTTCACGGTAACTCAAATCCACTTGACTTTGCTTCACTAAGATCAGAACTAATGGCACGTGATTATATCAAAATTTTGAGCTTTTTAAATTCTAGGAAATAGTTAAAGAAAGTCAACCAACAAGCTCTGTCAACAGTGAAAATGGAGAAGAAGTAAAAAAGAGAGGACGCCCGCCAGGATCAAAAAACAAAACTGGATCGCAAGTGAGTACTTGGAAATTTGAAGACAATTTGCAATGCTAAAACTAAAAGAAGAGTACATGTTAAACTTTATTATGGTTTAGGTAAAGAAAAACTCTACGGGCACCACGATTGCCAAAAAGCCAAGTTCCGCCTCACTCTTCGACTGATCTCTCAACAGTTTTTCAAATTCAAAAATTTTTTAGTCTTGACTGTTTAATTCACAAATTACAATTGAGTGCCCTATTTATTATCAAAATTGTCCCCATTTTTAAATTTGTGAAATCATCACATGTAGTCTTGGAGAAGGAGGCATGATCATATATTAGGTTTGCAACTTTCAAAATTCCGCTTACTTTTTTATGATTTTTTTTTTTGAACTTCAAAAGAGCTCTCGTTCCGCTTTTGGCATAAAAACAAACTACAATATTTTTACATAAACAATCTTTTCTTTTCGAAATTTCCTCGTTCTTTTTTTGATACTTAAATGAAAGATGAAAATTTTTTGATTCGGCCTGCATTCCTTTACGCTTTTAAACAAAATCTGCGGCTGAATCGCATCGTAAAATTATTTCTGTTTTTGGAGAAGAAAATATTAGCGATAGATGATGCCGTGCATGGTTTCAACGTTTCCAAAGCGTTTCGAAAGCGACAATCAATGTCTCCGGGATGAGCCGCGCGGAAAGCATCCTCAAGAAGTGTCAATTTGTTGGTGGAATTCGAAAATGAGCCAACACTCACTACTCGAGAGTTAGTGGAATTATTTAATATTTCCCATACTGCAATTGAAAACCATTTGCATCAACTTGAAAAGAAAAATCGAGCGGGAAAATGGGCTCGACATGAACTCTCCCAAAGCAAAAGGCTTGTGTAAGTGTGAGCTCATTCTTACTCCAAAAGTATAAGTCAAAGGATTTTTTTTAATAGAATTTTGACTTCTGATGGATTTCTGATGGATTTGAGAAGTTTAAACGAAAAAACTAGTCGCTTTCTCCAAATCAAGAGCTGAAAACGATTCCCAAACTAGATATTCATGGAAAGAAGATCATACTCTGTTGTTGGGGAAATGCAAAAGCTTTGGTGCACTACGAAATCCTAAAACCTGGAGAAACAGCTGATGCCAAACCTTATTCAAAACAATCGGTTCAAGTTAACGAGGCTTTAAAGAAATTGGGGCTCTAACCTTCAAGACTCCGATTGCCCCACGAGGCAAACCAATTTCAATTCGAGAAAATTTTATTTTTAAATTATAAAGCCTAGCAGTACAAGTAAGAGGTAATAAGAAAATTTTCTGGAATCAGAGTTGACTGGAGAGACCGTTGGTGTTTTCGGCTTGTTCTCGACCTTCTCAACATAGACACGAAGCGAGACTCCTTCGTCAATATTCTCAGGTGGATTCACCGGTGTCCATTTGATCTGCAAAATTCTTTAGATATAACTTAATTGTATATTTAAGAATACAAATTTTAACCAAATATTTCCGTTACTCTTTTAACCATGCTCAGAACAAACGGGCACGGTTAGCAAAAAGTATCGAAACCATCTTCTTACCCAAATCATTTGGGCGTGAGGATTTGATCTATTGATTGGTGTGCTGATTGACTCCGTTATCCTGAAAAACTACATTATTGTCAAAGCTATTGATATTACTCTTCTGTCGAGAATATTTGTCCTTCCTTGTCCATATAAGAAATATTGAGGCAGCCGGATGGAGTTAAACGGATAATTTCGATTACAAAGATCACTGGCCACGAATCTTAAAAAGTATAAAAACTAAGAGAATAATGTGCAAGTTTTGTCCGTGAGTGAGTGAGTTGTGTCTATGTCCTTTCACTTGATTTAAATACTTTTATATGCTCTTTGATTAGACAAAAGATACGTAGCTGACTCGCTAAATAGCTACCATTCAAACACTTAACAAATAGTACAAATACAGTGGTCCACAAAAGTAATGCCCCATTGCCATCCAACAGTATGTTTTGTAAGGAAATCTTGCAAAATCGACATTTCAGAAAAAGAGGAGGGTATTTTTACCGACCCATAAGACTCGACTTTTCAAGAATATAAGATTTATCCGTATACATTACATACAAATTAAATTATAAAACAAAAACAATAAGCTACTTGAAAATTAGCTCCACAAAAGTAATGCCCCATTTGCAAAGAATTAACACAATTTTTAAAAATCAATACTCGGTTGGTCCTCCTTTTGCTTTTATTACTTCATTGAGTCGATTCGGCATGGAATCCACGAGATTCTTCAAAAGACTTTGGGGGATAGTGGCCCAGAGACGTTGAATGTGAACCCATAAGGCAGCCTTCGAATCGAATTTCTTTCCCTTGAGTCGTGACTTCACAAATGACCAGAGATGCTCGCTAACATTGATATCCGGTGAGTAGGGAGGCGGATTGATCGATTTGACTCGACTTGCCGCAAACCAGCCCGGAAGTCGTGCTCGTGTACCATTTTGAAGAGTCACCACAGTTCCCATCAAGAGCCTTGACTTGTGTTTCGGGTCGTTGTCCTGGTAGAGCATCCATCCAGGAGGCATGGTTTGAGTTGCAAAAGGAAGCATTTGAGTCTCCATAATGTTCTTGTAGGCCACAGCATCCATCGTTGAGTTGACGTCAACTAATGGACCTACTGAAGTTCGTGACATCGCTCCTAAAGAAAAAAAGTCAGGTGACAAAATACTAAAAAGGCTCTTACCCCAACACATTATGTTGCCTCCATTGAATTTCACCGTAGGCCGAATGTACTTGAGTGTGTATCGCTTTCAAGTCGGCTGCCCAATAAGATGGTTTCCGTCCGCGTGAAATAAATTGACTTTTGTCTCATCGGTAAAACAGCACTTTCGCCCAATCACTTATTGTCCAACTTCGGTAGATCCGTGCAAAATCAAGGCGCTGCTTCCGGTGCTTAGAATTCATCAGAGGTTTACGGGCAGCCCTTCTTGCATATAATCCAGCTTGATTTAATCTTCGTCTGATCGTTTCCGGCGATACAACCTTGTTAAATTGATCCCTCATCATTTGGCTTCCATCAGTTGATGTTTTGTTCGGATCGTTTTTCACCATTTGGATCACGGCTCGATCTTCTTTTATGGTTGTGATTGCTCGTCGGCCACTCTTGAGGCCTCGATGAAGGTTTTTGCCGGCTTTTGATTGAGAAAAAATGCGGCGCACTGTCCATATCGAGCAGTTGAAGAGGTTGGCCACATCCTGCTCCCGCATCCCATTTTCCCGGGCCTTAGCAATTTGGAGCTTCTTCGGAGTGTCAAGATTTTTTATGTCAGGGATCTAAATAATACAATAGAATACGTTTAATGTTCATAGAAGGAGAAACAAAAAGAATAATCATGAAAACGATCAATGGGGCATTACTTTTGTGGAGCTAATTTTAGGGGTAATTGCACTCTTCCACCTCGATCTTTTGATTGAAAGGATCTCAATCAAAAAATTCTGTTATTTAACAACTAGAATTTCTAGAGTATTTTATAAGAGAAAAAAATATCCCTGAAATACATGTTTTCAGGAGGAATTTTGCAAAAAATACTTTTGAATGGCAATGGAGCATTACTTTTGTGGACCACTGTATAACAAACAATAACAAATCGTACAATAACGGTTTTTACAAAGATAAAACACTTGATTCACAGTAAGAACAGAAGATTGACAGCATGAAGAAACGCTGAAATGAATGGCGAAAAGATTCCTTTTATATGTTCTTTGATTGGACGAAAAATTCGTGATTGACTCGCTGAATCGCCACCCTTTGGCATTCAACTATCAACTTGAGTGAGGTGCGGGAAAGTTCACACAAAAAGTTCATTACATTTGATATTTGTACAGTGCACTTATTGACATTCATTAAATACAATAAAATTAGAACCCGATTAAACTCACCACAATAGATTGTTCTCGAGAGAAAGTATCCCTCTTCGATTTCCCGTCCATAACCAGCAAAATGACGACTGATAAATGCGTGAATACCGGAACAAATTCTTTGCCTCTTCGTCGTATCATTGCCTAATCAAAATTTTTCATTTCCTTACTCAATCTTTTCTTACCTTGGATTAAGTCACGATTTGATCGGAAGAAAATCGTCGGCGCACAATTCGGTGGTATAAAGACACTGAAGATACTTGCGTCTAGATATTGTTCGTAAAAAGGTTCTTCGTCTCTAAAGGGATGGATTGCTAGTTTTTGTTACCACACTCACCTAAATGTAAGCAATCTTCTGTTTTCAGTCGTAGGCGTTAACTTATTTGGAGCTGCTCCATACCAAAACTCATAGGAACAATTTTTATCGTTGTGTTCCTACGAAAACTTTCTTTTTTCGCACTTTAGTTGCATTAAAAGCTCATTAAAAGCTCATTAAAATGACTCACCGAATGTAATTTCTCCAATATTGTAAACCAGGTTTCTTCGGCATTTAGGGAAAAACCGATCCAAAGGGGTTTCTCTGATGGCTCAACGATCATTGGAAGGAGATAGTCAACATTTGGATTCTCATTTAGTGTCTCCAACATTGCCCAACGAAAATCGACATTAGCTGAAGTTTACATTTAGTATTGGGACAAAGATCAGGCTGAGGAGCGCATTTAAAGTACGCTTCTGCCTACAAAACAAAAATAAACATTAATTCTGCTTGATATTGATAATAAAAATGTTGAATTGATCAAGGTATGTATATTAATAATTCAAATATAAATTTTAAAGTTATAGAAATAGCATTCAAAAATTTAATATGATTATTTCACTTATTCATAGAGAAAGCTTACGATCAATCCACTTCAACGGTCGGATAGCTAGAAGTAATGGAAAGTCATTTTGTGCCGCGAACGTGTGATGATGACTAGCGGAAATTTTACTTGCATCTGACAATGTTGGATAATGCGGTTCGTTTGTTTTAGAGTGCTAAAAGATCTGAGTTAGAACAGATCAAAGTTGCTACCTTTTCGTGCAATTTGCTTCATCTAACGTAGAACGTCGATTATTGAAATAAAACGGAAGCAAAGTTTGACATTGCGATGAATACTAAATACGCTTACAATTGGTATAGAATGGCCCATAATATCTTGTCTCGTTTCAAAAGGACATGGCAAGTGCTTGCCTTTTCCTAGTTAGTGCCAGTTTCCTAATTTTCGATTTAATTGTATGTAAAATGCTCAGAAAACTTACTTTATATGCATGCTCGTTGTCCTTCTCGCAATATTGCACAATATCCATCAGTAAATCATCTTGACAATGTCTCGGGTCGGTCGAGTTTTGGCAATCTTCCGTGGTCACACAAACTCTCGTGTGTTTTCTAACTAAAGAAAGTTGCAAACTATCTAACGTGTTTTCCAGCTTTCTAGATCTCATGGGACTGCGGAACCTTAAGGGCATATTTACCTAAATCGTCAATAAGTCTCCCATCAAGAAGACCCATGGGCCCCATTTCTCGAAGTGTAATGTTGAACGTCCCCGCAGTGCAAAACACGTTCCCCCTTGCTGTTTGACCAGCAGGGCTTGCGTCGGCGACAAAACCGTGTATTTGACTCGGATCATCGGGACACCAATTGAACTGAATTTCTTTGATTCACGAAATTTTCTTATCAGACAAGACAAATTAATTAAGTTAACAGCATGACGGAGCCGTGCCGCTAAAATTAAGACTGTGGCAGACTGGTACTCTAGGTGTGCAGGGCTATATTCAAATTTTTTCCATATATCCATATATAAATTTTGCAAGTTGCAAGTTTACAATGCAAATTGCCATAGTTCACTAACGAGGCTCAATTTGGCGTTATGGGGTTCTGAAATATCCGGTCACTAACGAGATAATCACTATCGAGATTTTTGCTAACGTATTTTACAAGGTGAGGGTAAAAAAAGAGGCCGTAGGCCGGTTTTGAAGGCTGGTGTTAATAAAAATGGTTCAATCTGTTCTCATATCGTAATTTACTCTTCTCATTATGAATTCTTCCAGAATGACGCTGAAAGTAATGGACAAAAAATGTTAAGCAAGATTAGTTGTTTGCAAGTTGAACGATTTTAGGAAATGTTAGCCGAGAGAAACACTGTTAATTTAGGGGTAAATAAATTTAAGTGGCTTTTTAAGGAAGAATCAGAACTTGCCTCGATAGATGTCCCCAAAATTTCGAATTCAGCTCTATCGGTAAGCTGAAAATAAACATCAACCAATAAAAAAGAAGTGAAAAAAGGAGTTGCATGTATAACAACAATCATTTTGAAACATTTTTGGTACCTCGTGATGACCCTGAGGGTTTGGTTGATCATTTCGATCAAAACTATCCACAATAAGCGTCCCACCTTCCAACAAATCAACAATTACTACAATGTAGATGTTGTCAAATTGGCGAGCAAACTAAATAAACTGCTCAATCATAAACTTATGAAGTCAAAAATTTGACATTATTACAAATTATTACAAGCAAAAGACAAGAGCCTGAGCTTTGCCTTCAAAAGCAAAGCTCAGGCTCTTGTCTTGTCTCGCAATTTTCTTTAACTAGTGTAAATAAATTTTTTTTACTTCCTCTACGTGCTTGTATCGTAGTTTTAAACAATCCGGATACTGTGTCGAGTTTTCAAAAACCCATGGATATCCATAACTGTTTACAGTGAGTCTCGAAAAACTATCTGTAGTATCCGATTCAAAGAGCAGCGGTGTTTCCTCTAAAGTATAGCTTTGTCCATTTAAATAGCATTGAAATGATTTAAGAAATAGAGTACCGATAAATTTTTATATAGTTTATAGTTTCTTTGAAAAATCTTCTCTCACTTTCCGTTGTCATTTGAAAAAGCAAGCAAAAAGCGCAATCCGCATTTGTACCATCGATGAGGGATGATCTTACCGAAGTGATTTTGCTCGTGAATGAACGTAAGTACCGCCGCTGAAAATCGTTTGACAAGATTCTTTGCAATAGATTTCTGCTGCTTCAAATAATTTCAAATGTTCAAAACCAAAAAAATCATATTATAAGGGTTTACACTCACCTTATAACCAGAAACCCTTCATACCAAATATCATGAATGTATTTCAAGCCTAGTGCCGATCCAAAGTTCATTGTGAAAAGCGGATATCCTTTACAAGTGATGTCTGTCTGAGATAGGAAATTTTTGCATAGCATTTGAGAAGTAAAAACCTACCATGTACTGATGGCACAAATGCTGTTCTCCTTCTTCAATGGTTGGCGCAAAGCGGATGAAGGGTCCATCTGTTATACTGAAAAGTGCTTTGGTTAAGAAGATTTATTTGAAAAGGGATTTCGTTAAGGTTCATTTGCAGCAAAAAAGTTTACCGTTTTTATTAAAGATTTGGGTTTTTTCTTTGGTTGTAAAGTGTTAACTGTTTTCAGCTATCTACATTCAGACAACTTACTTATCAAAAGCGACCGGATGTGCCACTAGAGTAGCGGTTGTATTGGCTGGTATGAGCAACTCGTGGATTTTGCCGTCAGGGCTCATTGGTATGACAAGAACGGGTTTACCTGAGGGAATGTTCAAGCTTAAGGCAGAAAATTGGAAGCATTTTCATCTTTGTTAATAGAAAAATTAATTTTGAAACTTTCAGTAAAGTCTTGAAAAAAAAATTGATTACCATCAACCCATTCGGCAACTCGAAAAGATATTGCAAACTCAAGACTTCTGTCGTTTGATTCATTCGTATCATTTGACGCGAATCGAACCAAAATCGTGTCTGTTTTTAACTCGAAATGACACACGAAGAGAGCAAATTCAAAGTTGGCGCCAGTCGGACTAAAAAGAGAATTCTTTCTTTAGGATTGGATGTTGGTCTAAAATGTTATTTTTGTTCAAAATTGAAGACATAAAATCTCTGCATTTGTCAATGTAAGCACAGTATCAAAAACAAAAACTTTTTGACTCACATAGCCTTATCGCATTGATAATAATCTGGCCTCAAATCATTGACAAAAAACGGAAGTGGATCTGCACACACTGGAATCCGTCCGCCAGCTCCAACCCAAAAGTATTAGGCGTAAATAAATGATTGGTTGTAACTAGAGATACATAACAGTGAAACGATCTTAGCGACGCGTTTCCAATGTAACGAAAACTGCAAAATTTCAGCGAAACTGTAATAGTTTAGAGATTTCACCCGATTCCTCCCAATAGGCCTTAATTTATCCGATTTATTTTTTGTTTCTGTCCCCACATCAATAGTTTAACTTCAACGGGTGAACAGATATCGATCATTTTGTAGAAAAATTAATTTCTTAACGCTAATTAACGGTAATTGACAGAAATTGTAACGAAAACTGTAACATTTCAGCAAATATTTCAGCACAAATTCCCTCACTAGTTGACTTTTAAGTTCTCGAATGAACTCTCATATGATGGTAATATTGTAAGAGTGCAGAGTTTTCGATCATTTTTGAGGGCTCTTAAATGACCATTTACCGTTAAGCATCTCTAGTTGTAATAGTATAACATATGGCATTAAGTTTTCTGTTCCTTTGTAAAAAAAAGTCTACCCCTTCACCCGGCTCAGGCGGCACGCTACAGTTGAACCTTGAATAGTCGATCAAAAACATCGCATCTTTCGGTCCTTTGAGTTCAATTGGCTGAAAAAACTCTTTTCTCACAAATTTTCTTCGAGAACTTTATGATTCCGCAGGTCAATTCGTATCTAAATTCAATGAACTGGATCAACAACATGCAAGTGTAATAGTAGTTTTTGTTGGCTCAGGTTCGTTGCACAAGCAAATCTCTAGTTGTAAATAAATCGACCTGCGGACCAGTCCGATAACAAGCTTTTACAGAAATATTCAATTTACAAGTATACAAGCATAAAAAATTATTCAATTGCTATAAGCATTTAGCCATTTCATGGTTTCAATCACTTCTTTTGCCAACTCCCATCCATGAACGGCAAATGACGGGCTCTCTTCGGTTAATTGAATGCTTCTCCCATACAGTCGACCAAAAAATAGCCAGAGCAATGAGAAAATTTGATAGGCGAGTCCAAGCGGCATAGCAGAAAGTTTTGGTCCACTAATAAGCTAATTTGTTGAAAGTGCAAGTATAACTGTTAGATCACTGGCAAGCGGGTTCTAAATAATGATTTATCAAGCTAGATCAAGGCTTAATTTTATTCATTTTGACTATTCAAACAGAGGATAGCCTGAAAATATAAGAAAAACATTCATGAAAACAAAAATAGTCAAAAGAAACTTGCTATCAGTTACCATGAGGTAGGGCGGGCTTTGGGTGCCCTTAGTTTTTTTATCATTTTCTTTTTTAAGCCACGTTGGCGGATCACTGATAGTGTCAGTCAAGTTTTTTAAGGTTCAACTTTCAAAGATTTTTTTAAATATGAGGGTCGAGTTTGATCAATTGATTTTGAGACATGACTTCTCTCGTTAAAAGTTTCATTGTTACAGTTGTTATTGTGATTACAGTAATATCATTGTGGATGAGTTCAAAGAGAAGCAAAATAAAAGAAGAAAAATGGTAAATAGGGTGAAACACTTGTGCCTGGCATTGTCATAGTTGGTGATCTTAGTGTGGCTCTAGCTTTTCAACATAAGCACGAAGCAAGACTCTTTCAATGGTACTATTTGGTGGACTCGTCGGTGTCCAGCTGATTTGAAAAATTTGACAGAAAATCTGACTATCCTTTTTTAACGCTGAAGCTATCGATATACTTTGCTTTATCAAACAATCTAGACTATTCTTTCTTGCTCAAATTTTTCTTGCGGCTGGATAAGTAATATTAAGTGGCTTGTCAATTGAACCCTTAAACCTGAATCAATATCTTATTTATGAGTTTCACTATTACAGTCGTTGTTGTGATTAGAGTAATTGCTTTAAACGTTTAATGCAAAATCTAAATCACTTTTTTCAACCTAAAAACATATTCTTAACTCATAGGCAAAAAGAAACATGCAAAAAGCGTTGTTTGAGCTCTCATTTTGACGTTTTCTCACTCTTCAAGACAAAATCGCCGGATAATGATCGATTTAGTGCCGACTCATTGCTACTGACAGCAAGTTTTTTTTTAAGGAACTACTTTTTGCAACAAAGACTAATGGTCTTCATTTGCTCACAAACTATTCTAACTATAAGGTGTTGCTAAACTCGAAAAGTTTAGTTCAATGTGTTTCAAGTAAAGTTCAAAGGCATTTTAGCTCATTCTGTTTGAGAAACTTTTATTTCAAACTACAAAATAATAATAAAAGTAAGAGGCAATAGGGAAAATTTATAGAATCAGCCTTCACGGGAGTAATTGTTGGTGATTTCAGCATGTTGCAGACCTTCTCGAGATAAACACGAAGCAAAACTCCTCTCCTTGGTATTTGCGGGTGAATCCGACGGTGTCCAGCTAATCTGCAAAAACTAATGATTCCCTATTTCTTAGAAAAAGAGAACAAGAATTGGAAAACAATGTTTGATCTTTTAAGAAATTTTTATCAGAGCTGTGAGTCAGACTTGTAGTTTTGAAGAGGTTTTTGAAGAGGTTAGGGCACAATATGCGGATAACGGTCGATTTAAGGCCGACTCGTCGATGCTGATAGGAAGTTTTTTGAGAAACTTCGGCGTCGAACAGAAACAAATATTTCTTTTCTCAAAAAACTACAAACTAGTGTGGTTAAAATTGAGAAATTTAGTTAGAGGTGTTTCAGACGGTTAGAATTTGCAATATTCTTTGCAAAAGCCTAGCCAGTATTATTAAAGCCGTTTTTGGAAATTATCTGAATTCGTTTGATGTTATTCAGATTCCGCGATAGTTCAAACGCACTTCAGACCAATGTTCTTATAGAAATTGTATTTCAAACTACAAACGCTATTAATAAAAGTAAGAGAAAATAAGGAAAATTCATAGAATCAGCCTTCACGGGAGTAATTGTTGGTGATTTCAGCATGTTGCAGACCTTCTCGAGATAAACACGAAGCAAGACTTCTTCGTTATTATTTACAGGTGGATTCGACGATTTCCAGTTAATCGGTAAAGTATTTTTCTTCTAAAAATCAAAAATCTTCCATATCAAGTATTTTTCTTATGAAAATAGTCGATAAATTACTGTTATCATTTACTTTTTTGCTGAGGTCTCGTTAAACTTCACTACTTTACTTGTTAAATAAGTTGACTTCTAACAACTCCAGTCTTTCTTACCAAAATAATTGTGGTTCTAGGGTCAGACACATAGCGTGATTGGCCAATTGATTCCGTAAATCTAACTTACTGAATTATTTGCTAATATACAACCACAAAAGACTCTTCTCTTCTGAACACTTCTCCTTCACTACCGGTGAAAGAAATATTGAGGAGACCGGGAGTTATTAAACGAACAATTTCGATTGTGAGATATTCACAATCGAGATTGTTCGTTTAATCTCTCCTGGCCACTGGCCACGAGTCTAAAAGGTTAATTTAACACATTCGCGACGACCTGACCCACCGGTGGGTCAGCCTCAAAATTAAAAAAATGGGTAGATTAAGCTGAAAATTTGTATACGCGGGTTTTCGGGGTCGGGGAATTCCAATCCAGTATTAGTTTTTGGCTACAGTGTACTCGAAATAGGAGTACTCGTTACGGCCATTTTGAGCCGAACCTCGATATTAAAGAAACTTTTTCCTACTTGACCGATTTTGGTGCTTTTGATATCAATAATAATCAAGAAAAAGGATATCAAAAGAACCTTGATATCTCTTCTAATAAAAAAGTGAAGAGAGATCGCAAAAACGTTGGAAAATCGCAAAATTATTAAATTTCTTGTAAAAAAATCCAGGTTATTTCGAAAAGTTTGAAAAATGCCGGAGGGCGCGTCGCCAAAATGAAAATTTTTATTTTTACGTAATTCGCGTAGGCTTCTGACACAGGGTTTTGGCGATATATTCACTATAAACGTAAAAGATTTTTCGTAATTTTGATCACTTTCGGTTGAATTACCCCGCTTTGCTTTAGCAACATAAAATGTAGTGTTTCGGTAGGTATTTCGATTTTCCGTAGATATTTCGCGTAAGTATTTCGGTTGCATTTGGGTATCCCACCCCGGGAAAACCACCGGGTGCACGTTTTGAGCTTCTTCTAAACTATTTTTCAGCTAAAGTACGCGCTACTACTATTTTCGGCCTCAGGGGTTACTGTAGTTGAAAGCTAAAACCGGATTCGAGCTCCTCATCCCAAAAAAACCCCAGAGCAAAAATTTCAGATCTACCGCCAGCCTAGAACCCTGTTGTCCGGATGGACTGGATTTTGATTTTGGACTGGTTTTGGATTTTGGTTTTGATTCTGATTTTGGACTGGATTATCCAATCAAGCTCTATTTGGTATCATTTGAAAGCCTGAAATGTCCTCTAATACAATGATATAAAAGTTAACAAAAAATATTATCTCTGGAGAAAGTTGTAGGCCTGGAAAGAGTGGCAGCCCGTTCAAAATGCCCAGATTCTTTCAAAATATCCGGAAACTACGCAAGCGTCGAAAGTTTTGGTTCACCAATAAGCTAATTTGTTGAAAGTGCAAGTGTAACTGCTAGATCATTGGGAATCGGGTTCCAAACGGTGATTTACCAAGCTAGATCAAGGCTTAATTTTATGCATTTTGACTATTTGAAAATAGAGTATAGTCAAAGCCCGAAAAACGTGTTTTGCATTTATAAAAACAAAAAATAGTCAAAAAAACTTGTTATCAGTTACCATGACCAAGCTTTGGGCGCCCTTGGTTTTCTTGTCATTTTCGTTTTAGAAGGCACGTAAGCGGATCACAGATTATTCAGAGTCGATACATACTGATAGTGTCAGTCAGTTTTTTTTGGATTTTCAACTTTCACAGATTTTTATCAAATATGAGGGTTGAGTTTTAACAATTTTTTTTGAGGTATGACCTCTTTCGTTAAAAGTTTTACAGTTGTTATTGTGATTACAGTAATAGCATTGTGGAAGAATTGAAAGAAAAGCAAAGACAAAGAAGAAAAACAAAAAAAAAGGGGGAACTTCTGTGTTTGACATTGGGGGTGATTGTGGGTGATTTTGGCATGGCACCAGCTTTCTCGACATAAACACGAAGCAAAACTCCTTCTTTGGTATTATCTGGTGGACTCGTCGGTATCCAATTGACCTGAAAAATAATTTTATGGCAATAAAAAGTGATGATCTTTCCTGCCAAAGCTGTCCGTAAACTTTACTTCACTTAGTCAAATAAACTTGTCTTAAAAGAACGAGTCTCTCTTACCGAAAGTATCCTTGCGGGTGGGTAAGAAATATTGCATGGCTTGTCAATTGAATCCGTAAACCTGAATCACTGTCTTATTGTTGTTTTAATAAAAGCTTAATTACTCTTTTTTGTCTCGAACACTTTTTCATCATTATCAGCGAAGGAAATATTAAGCGGGGAGGGATTAAACGAAGAATTTCGATTGTGAATATCACTGGCCACGAGTCTAAGAGGTTAATTTAATATTTGAACAATAAATGTCTTGACATTCATTAACCACAAAGCAACTAGAGCCCGATGAAATTCACCACAATAAAGTGTTCTCGAAAAAAGTATTCCTCTTCGATCTCGCGTCCAAAACCAGCAAAATGTCGACTGATAAATGCATGAGTACCGGAACATGTTCTTTGCCACTTCGTCGTCTCATTACCTAATGAAAAAGGATGTCATCTATTATTACTCAAACTTTTCTTACCTTGAATCAAATCACGATTTGATCGAAACAAAATAGTTGGCGCGCAATTCGGTGGAATAAAAACACTGAAGATGCTTGAGTCAAGGTATTGCTCGTGAAAAGGTTCTTCGTCTCTAAATTCGATGAATTGGACTCTTTTCACCGAAACACTCACCTAAACATCAACAATTTTCTGTTTTCTTCAACCACATTTGGTCGTGTATTTGGAGCAGCTCCATACCAAAACTCATAGGAACAATTTTTTTCGTTGTGTTCCTACGAAAACTTTATTTTTTCGCACTTTAGTTGCACAGCTTTGAGCTCATTAAAATCACTCACCGAATGTAATTTCTCCAATATTGTAAACCAGGTTTCTTCGGCATTTAGGGAAAAACTGATCCAAAGGGGTTTCTCTGATGGCTCAACGATCATTGGAAGGAGGTAATCGACATTTGGATTCTCATTTAGTGTCTCCAACATTGCCCAACGAAAATCGATATACGCTAAAAAAAAAATATGTGAACATATTAGTATCGGGGGAAAGATAAACATTGTAATTAACTAAATTCTTTTGAAATACGATTCTACCGGAGAAAGCAAAGCAAACAAAAACTTTTGCAACTAAACTAGCAACTTGCCTAGTATTCAAAAATCAGTAAAAAACTTTACGATCAATCCACTTCGTTACTCGTATAGCAAAAAGCCATGCAAAGTCACTTTGCGACACGAACGATATGATTGTGAGAGGAAACTTTATTTGTAGATGACAATGTCGGATAATTCGGTTGGTTTGTTTTAGAGTGCTGGAATGGAAGAGTAATAGGAATTCTAAAAGTTAAAAAAAGACCTATTCGTACAATTTGATGGATCCAAATTAGGCTGCCTATTGTGAAGGAAAAACGGAAACCAATCTTTGCACTGCGACGAATACTAAATTAAAAAAAATGAATTGAAAGAACGCTTTTGACGTTCCATATTTACTATTGAAAATATGATAGATCAAAGTGCACTTTTAAAGCTGCTTCAAAAGCTTACCTTGTATTCGTGTTCTTTATCCTTCTCGCAATATTGCACAATATCAACCGAATGTCGTCTTCGCAGTGTTTTGGGTCGGTTGAGTTTTGACAATCGACCGTAGTGACACAAATTCTTTTTCGCTTTTAGTACTAGAAACTACCGTATTTCCTGTAATTGAACCGCAAAAGGCTCTATTTTTTTCATAACCCTTCCAGCGTGGGGTTCTATTAGAGGGATGGGGTTCAATTACAGGAAATTCGGTAGACATGTATCGGTCGTTCGGACACCGGCTCGGTCGGTCGGTCGCTCGGAACCGGTTTTGGTCTGACCAGAATCCGGAAAACGGTTCCGGTTTTGACTGATCGGGATCCAGAAAACAGTTCCGAACCGATCGATTCCGACAGGCCAGATAGATTCGGTCCGATACATGCTTACTATTAGGCTGTCCAGAAAGTCTTTTCGTTCGTTTTCATAATTCCGTTGAAAAATAACCAATTCTACAATTAACCTATGGTTTGCCCTAAATAAAAAAGTGTTTATTGAACAATTTCCCATCTTTTTAAGTCAATTTGGGTTCACTTTCAAGCAAATTCGAGAGTAAAAACGTGTTTTTCGAAAAAATCTATAAAAACCTCTAGGAAGAAATTGATTGAATGAATTTCTATGAAAATTTGGCCATCTACCTAAATTTTTGTGCTCTATCTTTTATCTATTGACACCAAGATGGGTTTCCTTAGCCAAAGTGTCTAAACCGCATCATTGAGCCTTTCTTGACTACCCGACTCCAAAATAATTCATCTTGAATAGGCAGACGAGTTCTTTTTCTCGTCAATTTAAAATCGAATTTTTGTTGAGTGTGTAGAGGATCAAGTTGAACAAGGCAACGCGATGATTGGAGAAAAGCAAGGATCATTCCGAGTACTCAACTAATAGATAACTGACATTGATAGGAATCAGTTTTTCTTTGAGAGAATATTGATGAAAAATAATGAAAGTCGGAAGGTATTGCTTGCTAATTTTTTCTTGAAAAATTGTGAATTTTAGACAGATTTAAATAAGCATAACTGATCTTGCAAGAATCATTTGCAAAACACACCAAAGATAATCAATTTCATTTAATTTCGATTTTCTTAATTTTAACTTTATAACATGGTCATATGTCTATTAGGCTGTCATAAATAATTGACCTTTCTAACGAAACAAACCGTAGTTCTATTGGTGCATTTGTTGGTTTTAAACAGAAGTATGAAAAGGAATGAAAAGACTTTCTGGACAGTCTAATAATCTACTCTTGTCCTGTCTGACCTAGCCTTTTTACCCTGACATATCCTCTAGAACTTTATGGTTTTCTAAATAAATATCCGGCGCATCCTTACTCAAATCATCCATCAATCTTCCATCGTAAAAAAACGTCGGATTTGTCTCTTGAAGTGTGATGTTGAATGTTGCCGCAGTGCACCATGTGGTACCTACTGCATTTTGGTGTCCTGGTTCTAGAGTAGCGATGAAACCATGTTTGTCACTTTTATCGTCGGGGGACCAATTAAACTAAATGTTTTCAGTCATTCAACATTTGCCTTATTCACAATATATCGGGTTGGTAATAGCTTTAAAGCTAAGCTTTTTACAGCTCACTGTAGCTTTGCATAGCTTTAAACTTAAAATTTCAAAAAACCAAACTACCAAGCCAAGTAGAATTTCTTTTGGTAATGCTAAAACTTACCTAGAGGTAATAATTTTAATTTTATTTTCTGCCAAAAGATTTTTGAAGTATATAGCAAAGCAAAAATCGGAAAGAATTCACGGCTTGATTTGAGAAATTGTTGTTTAAAGTTTGTTTGGCACGTCAACCTAATATTACTCCAAATTTGCGTTTATTGAAAACTGAAAACTATTAAACTATGAAAACTAATGTTTTCCGAGCTGCTGGAAATCAATTCGAAAACAATCCAGAAGAAAAGTATAACAAGTATCCGTGTTATATGTAGACAATTTGATAGTCTACAACAGTATATAACCTTTTAACGCTCGAATATTCAAATCGTTAATAGTTTTTATGTAAATCGTGTGGCAAAACTTTGAAACACTCTCCCCGTTCATATTCGAAACTTTCCTTCATTAAGTACCTTTAGATTGCAATCTCTAAATTAAAACTGGGTGATTTATTAGGTTGGTGAATTGAAAACTGCGGGCTATTTCGCGGGACTCGCAGATAAAGAAAACAACAGCATTGAACCAGCTGAAAGGGGGTTTGCTTACTTCAACATTTCCTCAAATTATTGCGAAAAAATTATACTTCCAGTTTTTTATTTTTTGGTATTTTTCTTGACTTCTTCTATTACTACAATCTGCCACCGGGACATATTCGTCATGTCATGCTTCATGGGTTCCTACAAGAGCACAGTGCAGGCTTGGCAACTGCTAATATAAAAAGATATATGGGGAGGACTCACCTTCCAAAAAGAACGTGTCAAGTATTGTTTGCCAAGTTTGCCAATCTGGGGGCAAATCTTTGAAAGATGCAGAGGGTCGTGGAGCGGCACCCCAACTGGATGACTCCAAATTACTCAAACGCCTCGATCAGTGCCGTCCATCTCTCACAATACAAAATGAAACCTTTTCTATCTCGAATTGTGATAGGAGATGAGAAATGGGTTTTATTTGAGAACTTTCAGAGGAAGTGGCAATGGGTGGGGCCAGGCGAGAAACCCGAAAGTGACCCTAAGCCCGATTTGCACCAGAAGAAGTTTATGCTCTGCGTTTTCTGGGATATGGAGAGAGTGGTGTACTGGGAGTTGCTGGATAGCAAGACGACCGTTAATGCAATCAAATACAGTGAACAGTTGGGAAAGGTGAATGAATCCCTGAAGTAGAATAGGCCCTTCAAGTCAAAGATCGTTCTCATCCACGACAACGTGCGCCCTCATGTTGCAAAACTGACTCGCTCTAAAATCAATAGCCTTGTTTGGGAACTTTTGGCGCATTCCCCATACAGTCCGGACCTTTTGATTACTATTTAATCCGGATCATGAGTAATGAGCTTGCGGGAGAACACTTCGATTCGGAAGAAGCAGTCAAAAATTGGCTTTGAAAGTTTTTCGATTTAAAACCAAAATCCTACCCGAAAGAGGAATCCGCAAATTGCCTGTAAAATGGGCAAAAGTCGTCAATAATAATGGAAATTATTTGGAATGAATTTATGGTTTTATGTTGAATAAATTTTAGTTCAAAGTCCGGCAGTTTTCAATTCACCAACCCAATCGTTTAGGAACTTTACTGTGAGTCTAGTCGTATGCTATTTTACATTCTTTGCTTTTCTTGTGTGTATTTTTGAATCTAAAATGTCGCTATGTTTCTTCTGTGCATTTTAAATTGTTTGATTTGTTTATCACTTTATGTCATGAAGAAAGTATATTAACTAAAAACCAACCTCAATAGAGGTCCCGTAGATATTGAAGCCATAGTCCATATTCTCATCGAAGTATTCAGGTGTAATCTGAGTTACTCAATCGAATTCATGTAACCAAATAAGAAAACTGAAAACTTTCACCACAACGCACTACATTTTTTGTTCTTTAACATTTACTATTCTTCGTTATTTTTGAGATTACCTCCCAATGCTCCGATGGGATCGCTTGACCAGTTCGAAAAAAACCGTCCACAACAAGAGTTCCTCCAACTAGTACGTCAATCGTCAACAAAAATTCGATATAATCATATTGGTGCTCAAAGAATTATCTTACAATTAGGCCACATGAAAAATTGATTCTCGTGATTGTTGTTTAGCACAAAAATACACTTTAATTGTCAATTTGTGTGTTTGTCTCTGTCAATTTGTGTGTTTTGTAGAAATTTTGAAGGGTCCAACTTTGAAGGTATGATTGAGTTCGTTTGTTTATGATGGATTTGGTTTTTACTTGATCTGGATGCGAGTATCGTAGCGTTAAACAATCCGGAATTCCATGGTGAATAGTCAAACGTCCATGGATAGCCATAGCTGGTCACGGAAAAGTGCGAATTATCAACTGTAGTATCTGATTCGAAAAGCAATGGAGTTTCACCTGGAACAAAGACAAATAACGATACAACGAAATAATCTCAATGATCTCTTGGCTGCCGTTTCAAACGGTGGCGATCAGGGTTTTTCCAAACTGGCCCAAAAACCCGGCCCGTCCCTTTTTTCTGGCTTTCTGACCTGGCTTTGCCCAATCTTTGGGGGCTTCTCAAAAAGTTTCATGTGGGGAGTGCATGAAAAACAACCAAAAATGACTCATGGGCTTCTAGAAGGCCTAAAATTTTGATTTTGGAACAACCCTGGAACAACAAAACAACAAGCTATGATAATTTGTACCCGGGGGACATTTAAGAGTGCTTATTCTCTCACTCTCACAACGGATCATCCAATTGTTTGCTATCAAAAGTTGTGCAATATTCAATTTCTAGAGCGAATTTATCCGTTGTAAAAAATTTTTGGAGTTCATTAATGTCATGGGTCTTTTCAATTAAAAAGGAATTCCTTTCGAAATCCGAGCATTTGTGGGTTGAAAATTGGTCTTAAAATACAAAAGAGATGGTAAGAAAAATTTACTAAGATTTTGAGATGAAATCATGCTGTAGTAAAAAATTTTAAGCCGTAAACGTAAATTTGGTTGTAGAAAAGTAGAATTTGTTTTGTATACTTTTTAATAAAAACATAGAGAAAACCGTCTTGAAGATTAGAACGCTAAAGTGCCGTTTTTCTATAGTCAAAATGGCACGTTAGCGCACTTTTCTATAGTCAAAATGGCACTTTAGCGCACTTTTCTATTTTACTCTATAACTCGACTTCCAATTACCAGATCGACTTAGGCGATTTAGATCGACTTAAAATAATCCTCTTTAAATTTGACTATAGAAAAGTAAAATTTGTTTTGTATATTCATGTGCAAAAACAGAGAAAAAGAGATCTGAAGACAGTTATGCATTTTTTTCCGTGCTAAACTGCGACCAAAAGACTACAGCTCAGCATCGGACCGCTTCGTTTCACCGGCCCGTGAAACCTTTCCCACCTGCGGTTGTCATTTGAAAAATCAAACAAAAAGCACAATCGACATCTACATCATGTGCATCGGAATCTCTACCGATTACATAGCTGGGCTTTATTTGATGTCACTCTTGCTCGTGAATGCACATAATCACCACCGCTGAAACATTTGCTTGGAAAGGATTGGCCTTAGCAAAATGATATTAGTGATTTTGTTCTATTATAGTTGACATACTTTATTTCCAGGTTACCAGTATAAGCCCCTTCTGTCTTGGGTTTTAAGCCCGACGCCGATCCAAAATTCATCAAGAAAATCTGAGATTCAATACAACTGACATCTGCCTAAAGTTTTGGATCAAATTTGTGGAGCAAATAAAAATATACTCTGTAGGAGTGACACAAATGTTCTTCGCCTTCTTCAATAGTTGGAGCAAAGCGGATGAATGGACCTTCTTTCATGCTAGAAAGTGGTATTAAACAGCCTTATTGAACTAGAAACCATTGGTTTATTGTATAATTTTCTCCCAGATCAACTCACTCAAAAACATGGGGATGTGCCACCAAAGTGGCTATTGTGTTGTTCGGGATAAGCGTCGCATAGATTTTGTTATCAGCGCTCATTGGCACCACGAGAACGGAGTGGCCTGAAAATGTTGCTAATCTCTATAGACGCTTCAGAAAATAAAACACTTGGTAAATCTTCAAATTAAATTACCGTCAACCCATTTGGCGACTCGAAAAGAAAGCGCAAATTCTCGACTTGTCTCATTTGATGTCAGCTGGATAAGGAGCGTGTCGACTTTGACTTCAAAATGACAAGTGACAAGAATGAACTCGAAATTGCCACCGATTGGACTAAAGCAAAAGATGCTGGTAGATATAAAATGGCTTCTTTTGTTATGCTTAAACCAAGAAGACAAACGATCAAAAGCAAAGATCTTCTCTTTTAAACCCACCTAGCTTTAGTGCACCTATGATAATCCGGTATCCAGTTATTGATAGTGAACGGAAGAGGATCTGCACAAACTGGAACTCGTTCATCAGTTCCTGTCTAAATTACTTGATTGTACTCGAATTCATACTCGAACGGAATTCATTTTGGTCAGATCTTGCAAAAACCTCTTTATTCTGATCAGGCAGTATGGTACAGTTCAGTTTTGAGTAATCGACCAAGAAAAGAGTGTCGTTCGGTGCGTTGAGCTTGACTGGCTGAAATTTCAGTTCGACTCTATTCAATGACGAGAACTTTTTAGCTTTTTTAGCTAGATTTAGCTTTTAGCTTTTTAGCTTTAGCTACCTCGTTCGCCAATTCCCATCCATGAACGGCAAAAGATGGATTTTCTTTGGTTAATTGCAAATCTCTCACACAAAATCCATATAAAACCAGCAAGAATAAAAGTTGGATTTGAAAGGTAAATCGATGCATAACTCGATTGTTTAGTCTAAACCAAAGTTCTTTGGAAAAGGCAAAGGGAAAATGGTTTTGTCGCAAAAAAAACTCTTAAGCGGAACGTAGTCATAAAAAAACAAAAAAACAATGAAAGAAGTATTTGAATTTTTAGAAAAACTCAACAGAAAAACTTTTCTTTAAAGCTTTTTTTTGAAAAATAAATAATAAAAACCGTCGCAGTTCTTACGTTTCTTGTTTTTTCGCATTTCAAGACAATCCGCGAAAATGGTCCGACAATCGAGATAATCCGAGGATAATGGTCGGTTTAATGCCGACTCATTGATGCTGATAGCAAGTTTTTTCGAGAAACTTCTTTTTGCAACAAAGACCAGTCGTCTTTATTTGCTCGAAAAAATATTCTAAGGTGTTGCTAGACTGTGTGTCCAATGTGTTTCAAGCATAATTCAAACGCTTTTCGAACGACGAATATAATCTGAAGATTATATTCGTCGAAACTTTTATTTCAAACTATAAAATAGTAATAAAAGTGAGAGTCAATAGGGAAATTTTATAGAATTAGCCATATATATATAGAATTGTTGGAGATTTCAGCATGTTTCGGACCTTCTCAGCATAAACACAAAGCAAAACTTCTTCATTGATATTCGCAGGTGGATCCGACGGTGTCCAGTTGATCTGCAAAAACCAATGATTCCCTGTCTCTTAGTTTTTGCTAACAGTTTTTGGAGTTTCTTTATAAGTTTTAAGCTTGTAAGCTAACAGTTTGTAAGTTTACTAGTATTGAGCACTGTGCCCAAACTTTAGTCAAACTAAAACACAAGCTCAAATAAAGAACAATAGTCAATAAAGTTAACAAGTCCAAATTAACAACTACACTCTTTCTTACCCAAATTACTATGGCTCTCGGGTAAGAAATATTGCGTCACTTGTCGATTGATCCCGTCTAACATAAAAACTTCGAGACTCTTCTGTTCTTAACACTTTTCCTTCATTGTCGATGAAAGAAATATTGAGTAAACCACGAGGAATTAAACGGAGAATTTCGATTGTGAATATCACTGGCCACGAATTCAAAAGGCCAACATGTAGGTTAAAAGGCCAACAACAAAGTAGTTTTGAATTTTTGCAGGAATTCCACCAAAAGATTGACAATGACGGATGGCCTCGATGTAGAATTCGGTTGAATTAGTAATTTCTTTACATTCAAAGATAGGAATCATTAAATAATGTCTGTTTTTATTAATTCTACTCCAAATTATGGTAAAGATTCTTTAAGTTCTTGAAACTTTGATTTCAATGTGTACAAGTCATACTTTGATTGAAGGCGAATATGCACAGGGAAAGTCATTAGAGAAATTTATTGCATTTTTAGAAATGTAGAAAATTCAAGGTTATACTGAATTAGCTTTGATTATTTGTGCTCGTTGTCACCCCACGTTATATTTTCTTCATTTTGTTCAGGATCTTGACCTCTGCTAAAAATTTAGAGTTCCTTGTTTTTATTTTTTAGACATGCACTGCGTTTCAAATTCTTAAACGCACCCTCTAAAATAGCGAATTTTGCATTTTGAACACCGCTACAACTATTAATCTTTTTCTATTAGAAAAAGCATGTCTTAAAACCTAAAAAGCACGAAAAATAAGCATACTGAAAAAAGTAAAAATTTTCAAAATAGAAACTTTTTGGTAACTCCATCGTTTTAAATTCTTAAACGCACTATGAAAATATTTTTATTTATCGACACAAATTAACAATCAAAGGTAAAAAATCAAAACTAATAATCTGTACACGCACCAGAACGATTAATTACTTGAAAAATGCAGTCTGGCATTGAATTGATGAGGTTTTGAAAAGCAAAGACGTCGAGATAGTTTCAGGCCAAACGGGTCGCTGTTTTAGGCATAAATAGACGTCTTGAAACCGACGATGATTTTTGTAGGCAGCTTGTATAAGTATTCGGCATAAATTCCCTATCGGATTGACGTCAGGAGAACGAGCGGGTCAGTCCAAAGTTGCAATGTTGTTGTTGTTCAGCCAGTCTCGGGTGTCTCCGGCTTGATGAATTGACGCGTTGTCGTATTGAAACAAATCGGGAACGGTTGGATTTAGGAACAAAAACGGCAACAAGCAATTGTTCAAGTTATCTATCTAGTCATCCGATTCGAAACCATCTTCAGAGCGACCAAAAGACTACAGCTCAGCATCGGACCACTTCGTTTCACCGGCTCATGAAACCTTTTTCCACCTGCAGTTGTCATTTGAAAAATCAAACAAGAAGCACAACCCACATCTACAGTTCGGTAGAGGTTCCCTCTATCGATTACATATCCGGGCTTTATTGATGTCACTCTTGCTCGTGAATGCACACATTATGGCTTTTCTCATAATCCGTGTGACATTTACCTGGAAATTAACAAAAATTATAATTTAATAAAAAATAGGCACAACAAAGCGAAAAATTTCAAATAACAACAGCAAAGGTGGGTGCGTTTAAGAATTTGAAATGGTTGATTTAGCAAAAATTTTTACTTTTTTCAGTATGCTTATTTTTCGTATTTTTAGGTTTTAAGACATGCTCTTTCTAATAGAAAAAGATTAATAGTTGTAGCGGTGTTCAAAATGCAAAATTCGCTATTTTAGAGGGGCGTTTAAGAATTTGAAATGCACCGTATAACTATTAAGTCAAACATCACTTTTTTAACTGCAAAGCCATTTTGATAATAATTTGTTAGTTGAACAAATTTGCAACACTGTAATAACTGACGATAGATCAGCCTCAACTTGCAAATAGATTCTCTCTTTTCGCCCCTGAAGAAAGCGGCAGATCTGAGGCTTCGTTATCACATTTGATTTGTAATGCTTTTTCAGGAAAGCTTACTTTTAGTGATCCATGTATTTCTTTTTACCTTTGGGATCAAATGTTAGTCTACTCTGAAGGGGTGACTCATTGTTCCTCTATCGTTCTCTCGTCTTTTGTCAATCGGCTCAGAGCTAGAGTCGATAAGGCAAAATAAATTCTGCAGAATTCTAAAATCGTCCGAATACTTTCAAGTTTACTTTTTTAAATTTGCTAAAGATAATCAAAAAAATGCATAAACTTTAAGTTCAGCTTTCACTTCGATTGACTAAGCTGATAATGAGCTTGAGTTAATCTGACGTTCTCAGTTCTCTAATGAAACCACAGATAGGAGTGCTGGAAAACTCAAAGATTTAAAAATGTCTGAATCAAAACTAAAGAAAACTGTCAGAATACTTATTTCTAGACCGGAGGAGCTGTTGATACCTGTTGTCGTGTGCATGGATTCAACGATAAATTCAACGAATCAAGAAGGGATCGCTGTCTGCTACTAAATTTGACGGAAGACTGAAATTTCCTTTTGGTTCCTATTAACTACAATTTCATTTCATTTCAATAAAGTTTGGCATTCAAGACAAAACCAAATGTGATAGATAAAAACCAGCTCTAAAAGAAGCTAGAAAAGCTGTAAATTTGTTTATTCAGAGCTGACATTTGATTGTGTCTATCCAACTCTGAACTATACAAGAATTCTTGACTAGTTGGTCTTCTTTACTTGTTAAATAAATGGAAAAGATCTAAAGAGGTTGAAAGTGAAAATTGGTACTTGATAAAGAAAGACTGGAAACTTCATTTTGCTTGAAGTTCAACTTTCATCTCGAGGTTTTCTTTTGTTTCAATATATTCAGAGGTTGTAAAATTTTGTGATCAATTGCATGTTTGATGTCTCATTTCTGATGTCTCTAAACTCAGACTTAAACTAACAGAAAATTATTGAATGACTCAGACCCTTTAACCCAAAGCTTATTATTCGCCCACTCCAATTATTCTTTACTCTGGAATTTTGGGGCCGATGTTCAATCAAAAATAGAGTTTCTCCATTATCAAATCGGCTTTGCCTCGATTTATGGCACTCCCCCTTTTTCAATTTTTTGAAGAAGAGGCATGGTTTGCCAATGCCCACTTGCTGATAAAGATTTCCTTTGAATTCTCAAAGCGAATTCTCAAAAGAAAGATATGGGAAGAAACCATTCTTACAAACTCGCTAAACAATCAAACGAGAGTGATCGTCAAAAACCTTCGTTAATTAACTCTTTTTGATGACTTTCTTTGATGAATTATATCGTTTATTTTTCAACTTACTTTTTCAATGATTTGGCATCGGGTTATTAACCAACTTTAGAATGAATATGGGCTAAAAATGTGCCAATTCTGTCCAACCAATTAGTTTATCTATTGATTTCAATTCTTGTTTTATTTAAATTGAGAATAAATTGCTCAATTTCAATTTCTCAATTTCATTGCTTTCCCTATTCTTTTTCTAGGCAAACAACCGATTGAATGTTCACCTCAACGGCTTCGAAACAAACCTCCTCTTCCCAATCGACTCGATCATCGTTAACGAGTTCGAGTATTGGACAAGGAGCCACCTACAATGGAACTTCTGCTATTGGTCAAGGAGCTCGAGTGAGCTATGTTGAGTCGCCGAGAAGTCCCCGAACACCCATGCAGGGCCATCTTGGCACGAGAACATCAAGCTCAAGAACCCAAGTCTCGACTTATACTGGATCTCGAGGAGGGAGTACTGGTGTTGGAGGAAGTGAGTTTATTGAATATCAAGAAAAACAGTAATAGGTTAAAAACTTGTTGGCAGTAGCCTTTGTATCAGGCTTTCCAACAAAATCTTTTCGTTTCTTTCCATACTTTCATTGAAAAACAAATTCACCAATTAACATATGGTTTCTTCTAAATAAAAAGTGTTTATTGCTTAATTGCCGTCTTTTAAATCAATTTCAGTTCACTTTCAGTTCGTAAGTGAAAACACGTGTTTTTCTATAAAAACCTCTAGGAAGAAATTGGTTTAATGAATTTCTTTGAAAATTTAGCTATCTACCAAAATTTTTGTGCTCTATCATTTATCTATTGACATTAAGATAGATTTCCTTAGCTAAATTGTCTAAATCGCATCATCAAGCCGTCTTTTTGACTACCCGACTTCACACTCCCAGAAAAATCCAGACATAAGACATTTTAGATCCGTTTTAATGTTATTTTGTAGAAGGAAGTGAGTTGCAGAACAATATAACAAAAAAATCCCCAACAAGTCGGTTTTTAAGGTGGCCGAGTGTTGAAAATGGTGACCGAAATGGGTTCAACGGCGATGGCAACAACAGCTTTGTCGGACAAAGTCGCGAAGAGTTTCCTTGAGGCCACGGAGAAAGAGAAACAAGATCTGCAGGTGAGAAAGTTTAATACTGTAATTGGATTTCCTTTTAGTATAATAATAGATTTTTAATAAACTATCATTGCTTGAACTTTTACAATGCCTACAAAGCTTTCAGCACTTAAACGGCCGCCTTGAAAACTACATTGGTCGGGTGAAGAGATTGGAGGATCAAAATAGAAGACTCGTCGAAGAGCTGGATCAATTGCGCGGTCAATGGGGAAAAGACACCTCAGCTATCAAGGTATGAAGTCAATTTTTGAAAAAACCGGATAACCGGAACTGAATCCGGATAAACTGGATTCACAAACATACCTCAAGTTTTATAGTACCTCAAGGCTTGACTCCGCACCCAAAATTCTCTACAACTCACATTCCACACAAAAATCTTTGACTCGCGATAAAGAACTCATAATAAAATCCCAAAAGAAGCGATTTTCATGGAGGGAGAAAGTTGGAAAAAAGAGCTGGGGATGCCACTTGCTGATATGGGGATTGCAGGGAAAGCAAAGCCCTTTGTTTCAAACAAAAAGCATATGAATCTTCCGGAAAAACATCGATTTTGGATTTGATAAAAATAATAATAAAGTTGGATTTTAGGTGAAATATACTGATTCTCTGTCGAAAGCTCGAAAGGACATCGATGATGCGGCGAGACAGAAAGCCGAGATTGACGTGAAAGTGGCTCGTTTGAGGGACGATTTGGATGAATATAGAGGACGGTGAGGGAATGTTTGAAGTGGAGATCCTTTTGTAAGGATTAGAAATTCAAGTACTTGTAAAAACGAGATAGCGTTACTCCTTTGCTGAATAAGTGTAGAACTTTAGGGTAACTAAGCCACTCGGGTCAAGCTCTGTAACGAAGTATAGCTACAGCAAACAGCTGTAGCGTACAGCAAACTCTGAAGTTTCTTAAGTATTAAGTCAACTTACAAAGATTTCTGAACTTTTGAAATCGAAATTTCAGATACGACGAGCTTCACAGTCGACAAGAAAGCGAAAAGGGAAAGTACCAGCAATGGACAAGTGCGATTGCTGATGCACAAAATGAGCTTGAGATGCTTAGAGCCAGGTTTGAACTTTCCAAAACTATTTGAAATGAAAGCTAGATGAAAATGAAACAGTGCCGCTATAAATGAAACATTAGATACAAGCAGTTGAACGACGAAGAGAAACGACTCAACGGGGAAAATGCTCGACTCTGGGATGAAGTGCAGAAAGCGCACGCCGTAAGTGCTTTGGCAAGATTGTTTTTACATTATTTCATGATTCTATAGTTCGCTTGTTGGTTTGAGTTAAAGCAAATGCTGAAAATTTAGGATTTGGACGAAGAAACGACTGGCCGAATCGGTTTCCAAGATCAAGTTCAGACTCTAATGGAAGAACTCGAGTTCCTTCGCAGGTTAGCTTTGTGATTTTGGTTAAAAACAAAGTTGGTGCAATTAATTTGTATTTTATTTTCAGAATTCACGAACAAGAGATCAAGGAATTGCAATTCTTGTTGTCCCAGGCTCCGGCGGAAACTCGGGAGTTCTTTAAGAACGAGTTGGCTTTGGCGATTCGGTATGTTTTTCAAAGAGTAGTCACAAGTTCGGAAAAATTTCTGATTTGATTAATCAGAATCAGTATCAGAATTAGAATCAGATCTGATCAGATTAATAATTTTGTAATTTCCGAAAGAATAGTAACTAACTTTTGCCAAAAATTCTTTTCAGTGACATCAAGGACGAGTACGAGTTCATCGCGACTCAAGGCAAACAAGATATGGAGAGCTGGTACAAGCTCAAGGTTTGTGCAATATTGAAATATGGATTCATGGGTCAGTTAGCCATGACAGTCCAGCACCAGTACTCCCTGCTCCAGATCCAAAGTCGAAACTTGGGTTCTTGAACTTGATGTTCTCGTGCCAAGCTAGTCAAGACAGTCTATCAGATAAAGTTGATGAAACTATTTTGTTGAGTACTATGCAATAGTGTCCTTTATTATCTTATAAAATCAATATCAAATCATCAAATAACTCAGACTTTAGAGGGTAGATCTAGAAATTTTGTATAAAAAGCTTTGCTTGAAGCCTTTTTCCGTTTGAGTTTTGGCGATTTAAGCCAAGCAGAAGTCATTGAACCAAAAATGATTTCAACCCGAAGTTACTATTGAGCACTTTCTTCCACAGGATCTACTTTGATGTCAACAGGAAAAAGAAAGAGCACAGAAAGTTAGGAATATAGTCAAAATCTTAGCTGAATCCATTTGACCATTCCCAACTTTGCAATTCTTTGAAAATCTAGAGAGAAAACAAAAATTTATGCTCAAATTTGTTTTGAAATGATCTCAGATTTGCTTGAAAAAAACTTAAAGTAATGATGAACATTCGGAAGCAAACCGGAGGTTATTTGATGATTTGATACTCATTTTATAATATAATGAAGGGAGGACTAGAATATATAGTAATAAATAGCTATATCCATTCCATTTAGGTCTCTGAAGTGCAATCGTCCGCAAACCGCGTGGTTTCCGAGGGCGGACATCAGCGCGAAGAGGTAAGTATCAGAAAGCAAAAAAAGAAGATAAAAGAAACAATAACTTTTTCAAATCTACGTCTCATTAGGTATCTCGAATGCGTCACAGTATGGCTGACATGCGCGGAAAACTCGGCGATTTGGAGGAGAAGAACGCTCGTCTTGAGAAAGAAGCACAAACGCTCCATAGTCAAGTGAGTTTTCTGAGCTTGGAGTTCTTAAAAGAAACCATAGTATTGTTTTGCATTTACCTATGCTTTAAAATAAGTTTTAAATTCATCTTTAGCTCGATGATGACCATCGTCAATACGAGGATGCCATCAATTATCGTGACAGAGAGTTGCGCCGACTGAGAGAAGAGTCACAAAGATTTCATATCGAGCTCCAGGTTTGTTTACAATGCTTTAAATTATGTATTTTTCTGTTTAATATGTTCATCCAAAGATTTATAGGAGTTGTTGGCTACCAAACAAATTCTGGACGCTGAGATTGCCATTTACAGAAAGATGATGGAGGGTGAGGAGAGCCGGTGAGTGCAAGTTTAAAATATTAGGATTTTAAAAGTTTTAAAATATTGCAACTTTAAAATATTATAATAGTCTTTTTGTTCCTTTTTATACTTCCATTGAAAAACAAATTCACCAATTAGCCTATGGTTTCCTCTAAATAAAAAGTGTTTTTTGTTTAATTGCCATCTTTTTAAGTCAATTTGGATTAACTTTCAGCGCAAATTCGAGAGTGAAAACGTGTTTTTCTATAAAAACCTCTACAAAGAAATTGAAATTGAAGAAATCAATTTCTCTGAAAATTTTGCTATATACCAAACTTTTTGTGCTCTATCTTTTATCTATTGGCACTAAGACAGGTTTTCTTAGCTAACATGTCTAAACCGCATCATCGAGCAGTCCTTTTTGACTACCCGACTTCACGCTCGCAAAAAAATTCAAACCCAGGACATTTTCAAACCCGTTCTATGTTATTTTGTAGAAAAATAATTGGTATTTTTAATGAAACAATCAGTAGTTCAATTAATTCATTCGTTGGTTTTAAAAGAAAGTACAGAAAGAAACGAAAAGTCTCATTCACCAACCTAATAGTAAAGGTATCTTTTAGATTTCGAGCGTTGTAAGCTAACTAGTTTAAGCTTTAGTTTAAGCTATTGAAAGATGCTATCATTTTCTTACTTGTAGAATTTCAGTGTTGGCATTTATGCTGAAAAAGTCGCTACGAGAAGCACTGTGGAGGAAAATGAGAGCCATAGCAGCAATGAGATCCGAACGACGACCCGCTTTCATCGGTTGGTTTAAGTTTGATTACAAATTTAGCCAAATAAGCCTATCTTTTAGCCATCAATTTTAATTATTTTCAAGTTTATCACCAATTTCCAGATCAGCACACGGTAATGTAACATTCGGTGATTGCGACTGGCACGATGGTACCTTTATCTCCCTCCAAAACACTCATGGAAGCAAGGTTTGGGAAAGACTTTACAAAAATTGTTGATATTCTTAGGATGAAGACCTAAGTGGATACAAAGTGTCACGAAAATTGGATAACAATCAATACATCAACTATGTTCTTCCAGAAAATACTGTTCTCAAGGCTGGCAAGACGTTGAAGGTAGGGGATTGATCATAAAAAGTTTTTAAGGATGACAATGACACTTTTGTGACAGTATTGCCTATCAAAAACCTTTTAACTTTCAATATTTAGCTTTACGCTCGTGATCATGGACCCCATTCACCACCGAACTCCCTTGTGAATGCCGCTGATGAAACCTGGGGACTCGGCGCTAATGGTTTGTTGGAAAGAGAAATGATTATTGCAAGAATGGCATTTGGCTATCGAAAGAACTTTTTTGGGGATCTGATTTGAGATCGATTCTAATCTAGAAAAAACATCATCTAGATTGTTAACAGCTTGTAGAATTGATGGGGAATTACAGTCAAATTTAAGGCGAAAATTCTCCCAAAAATTTGGGCATAGTGAAGCCTCAGAACCGGCAGGGTTTAGTCACTCATCGCTCCCATTATCATTCCAAAAGGGAAGCCTTATATACCAGAGCGGTTTGCTAGATGGAGAGCGGTTGTGGGCGCGCACAAAGAACACCTTAACAGTGATTCAATATAGAGATTTCTTTTTTGCTTTGTAAATGATCCTACAAGGAGATATTGAGCTGTAAATTTGCACCCTTAGATTTTCGGGGTCGGCAAATCGACTGAAAATGTTCTTGTTACCCTTTTACTTGCTCTAATAAGAACGTTATAGGGTTTTAAGTACGCCGATAATTTGATTTTGATTGAGAATCCTCCTTTAGTTGCTTTTCATTAACAAAATTTCAGTTGTGACAACATTGTTTAACAAAGAAGGCGAGGAAAGGGCAACTCTTGCACAAAAAACCGCTTCCACTCAAACTCCTATCTAAATTTCAATACCTTTTTCCATTCCATTTCATTTTTATCTTTGCTTTATTTTACTAGCATCTGACAAACTCTAATATAAAACTGCCAATGAAAGTTTTTGCTCAATTATGTAATTCTAAGTTTTGATGAAACAAAAGTGCCTGAATAAAGCTTTTTATAAAAACGCATGCATGTTTAAAATTTCACTAGCATTGAGAATCAAACTTTGGCTTGAATTTTCAATAGCGTCAACCCTCGCTTTAGCTTAGGATTACTGGGTTTTCTAGGAAAGACTTTTTGGTCTTGTTGCCGTGTTTCGAAAGGTTACACTTATCAGCTGAAAAGGTGTGAAAACAGCCGAACTGCAACTAAAGTAAACAAAAAAGGTCAAAAGCTGATAAAATTTCCGATTTCTCTCAAGTTCTAGTGTTTCAGCTGACTATAATTTTCATCACAATGATCCGGCTTCTTCATATTTATGATTTGCCCTCGGATTTCGGTAAGCATAGTATCAAGATGATCAAAATGAATAGAATAATTGATAAACTTGAATAAGATAATTAAATTTGTCTATACAGGGTGTTCAACAATTATGTGAACCAGGGCCTTCCTTAATAATAATCAGTATACATCATAACAGTGATAGATTTTTTGGTGGTGTATGTTTTTTCTATTGTTTTATGTTCTGTTCACAAGATTTCCTTCACAATCTTTTTCCAAATTTAGAAAATGAAGAAATCCCAACATTGCAATTCAATCGTCAACTTGCATTTGAAAGGAATCCGGCAGTTCGAAATTTCACGCCGTTTGATGGTTGCAAAATAGCTTGTTTCTGTAATGATTAATCGCTACAAATCTTTGGGAACAAATCAAGATCGTTCAGGAAGGGGAAGTAAACTAACCGCGGTCACACCAGGGAACTTCAAGAGATTGCGAGAGCGCACCCTAACAAGGGTGCGCAATCTTAGCGCAAGTTCGCAAAAAGTTTAAAGATTTCTGTTGGTTCGATAAACACGATTATCAAAAAGCAACCCAAGATGAAAGCCTACAGATGAAAAGGGCAATTCCTCACTGCGACAGCCAAAAAAAGCGAGAAAACCGTGCTAATCAGTTGCTGATCCGTTTCAACGGAATTGATCATTGTAACATCATGTTCTCGGATGAAAAGATGCTCACAATTGAGCAATTTATCAACAAACAAAATGATATAACGTACTCGAAAGCCCAACCAAACGCAAAACCTTATCCAACGATCGACTCTCTGAAGAAAGCTCTACAGAAAGCGTGGGATGACTTAGATGTGACGTGACCTACCTGTCTGACGCGTTCCCTAAGCGATTTCAGGCTTGTGTTGCCGCCAATGGTGATCTTTCTGAGAATAAGTGATTCAACCTTGTTGAATCAGTTGTTATCAATAAAAAATTTACTATTTCGACTTTTTTTTTGTTTTTTGACGGTATAAGACCATCATATTTGTGAGTTTATATAATTGTTGAACACCCTGTATGTTACGTCTGACTTTGAAACCTTTTTAACAGAATAATGTTTTTGCATTAGAATCACTAGATTACTAAACAAATTATAATTTTTCCACAAGTTTCTTTAAAAATGAAAAAAAATGCATTACTTTTCGTAATGTTTTTGATAAACTATTGTTTGAAATTCGATTAATGAATGAAATGGACGTCATTTCGATAGTTTAAAGGTACTAAAATGCTGAAAAAGTCTAGAATTGTATTTGATTTGACTAGATTTGGTCGAAAAATGTAATAAAATTCTCTGTGAAATGACTTTTCTAGGTAAAAAGAGGTTTCGAAGGTAAAAGGTTTCAAAATCGGACGTAGCAAGATATAATCAGGCGTATGTAATCTATATGCTTGCAATTTAGATATTCAAAGCATTCAGATCCCAACAGAAGTATCTGCGGATCCAATTCTTCCATGAGAGGTGAAATCCCAAACACGTTCCCTCCAGACTTGTATCACTCCTGCGTAACTCATCATTTTCGAATAAAATTTAAAGCTGATTTAGCAAACGCAAAAGACGGATTGGGCTAAGAATGGGAAAACTCAAAAGGTATCGGTTAACTGTGTAAGCAATACAGTATCACTTTTCAGATCTTCTTGCTCATCTTCTCAACACTTTTCTGCCTCGAGGACATCACTTTTTGGTTCATCTACAATTTGAAAGAGATAGAAACGTAAAAATTAACTCTTAAGATTTTTAGATCCAAACTTTAGACCGTTAGAAGGAGTCTTCTCACAAAATCACTTTGAATTGGTTCATACAATTATTGGAACTGGGATCCCACTCACCTACATTCTTTTCAATTTGATTGGCATGCAAGCGGTGATCTTCAAGAAGCCAAGACTGTTGATTGCTTTTATGATTTACTTGGTTAGGTTTTGAAAAGCTAACTGGAAAGAGATCTTTGCCAGATACTTTTAAAATGTTTCTGGAATCAAATGCAGTCTTAACTAATTTTTTAATGGATTCAGTAGCACAAAAAACATTGATAAGGTTTACTTAATGTTCACAAGAAGTGGCAAAACATTGACTTTAGATAATCGCGATTCTCTTGACTCTCGCTCATATGCTTCACCATATTTTCAACTCCTACCATCAACAATATCATGCCCTTTATGAGACAATGGTGAACACTGTGATGGAGTTATGCTGGATGAGCGCTATTCTTTACTTTGTCATGCAACACGTTCATTATTTGAATCTTTGTCATAAATGCTATTGATAACTTGGTTCTCGATCTCTCGAGAATTTCTTTGCTAATTTTATTGCATAACTTTTACATTCACTGAACTGATTATCGAAACTGTACACGGTTTTCAAAAACGTAAAAGATATAAAACTTTAAAAACAATTATGCAGCAGAAGTTTAAAATAACATTTTCAAGAAAGTTTTAGAAGAAATCTTTGATCAACAAAATGTTAACGAAATGCAAAATTCGTCTAACCACTCAAAGAGTACAAAGCTTATCACCAGCATTTCTAACCTGGGAAACAATTACGAAAGTTTTGGCAAATATTTTTGTTTTTAAAATGCTTGACTTTTGTTTTAATCTCTAGCTAGTTCACTCATCAACCTTTTATTATCGCTTTCCTAAACTAATGAGCTCTATCAGTAGAAACGACGTGAATACGAATAGTTCAGGTAAGTTCTTTGTGATTTTTAAACATGAGGTCAACGTTATAATGCCGTACCTATATAAAATCTTATTCTTTTAATTATTAACATGTTTTTAAAGATTGTCACCAAATTCATTACCTTAAACTCTTCAACTTTTTAATCTATGAGATTAGAGCTGAGTTTTCTAAAAGAATGAATTAAGAAACAAGACCAAATTTCAGATATCCATTACATTGATGTTCCTTCAACAATCAACGTTGAAAACCCTGCTCAACAGCAAACGTCAGCTCTCAGGACCTACGATCATATCTGCGTATGGATTTTATAGAAACCTAATGCAAAATATTTAGAAATCTCAGCAATCAGCCTGGTTAAACATTCGAAATATCCATAAGGTTTCAAATATTTCAGTCAATAATGTAGATTATCAATTTCCAGGCATTTCTCATTTGTCTCTTATCTGCTTTGGTAATCGTCGAAACAATTTTCTGGTCTTGGCGTCATCCAGGAAAGGAACGGTTTGAAAAACTTTAATCGTAAAAAGTCGTTCAGCTATTTGCCGTATGGAAGTGATCCATTTAAAATTATCCAAACGTTGATAGCGAATATCGAATTTCTCACCTATCTCGTCTTTTGCTCTGTCGGCATTCATGCAATTCTCTTCAAACAGCGAACATTGACAATAGTTGTCACGGTTTATTTGGTGAGTTGACTTAATGATTAATATACTGACTTTATGTACTTTTAGTCAAACTATTTGAGTTCTAAGCATACCGTAAATACTGTAATAGTACTCCACCCCCATAATGACGGTGTGGAGTGTTGCGTAGTCTAGCTTTGAACGAGTTTTTCTCGACACTAGTTTATGCTACATTGTGTGTTTAGGTATCAAAAAATAGCCCTGAATCTCAGCTATTTTTTGATACCAAAGACGCATTTTTTGAAAGTACGGGCGCTTTGAAAAAAATGAAATATTAAACGACGCGACTGTACGAGGGGGGTGGGGTACTATTACAGTATTTACGGTAATTTATCTCAACTTCACAATTAAACATTTTAGGGTTTAATGTTCCTTCTAAATGTGACAGAGTCCGTATACAACCTCATTCATGATCCGTTTTCAAAAACGGTGATCGCTTTGATGGAAGGATTTTGGTTTCTCACGCTGTGCATTCTATTTCGTCTTCATCTCTATTATATGGATTTGTGCATGAAATGCTATTGATCTCCTACTGTCACTTGAGCCTTTTATTGACACTTTATTACTCAAGTCAAATCATTTGTCAATCAACTCATCCAATTCAGCTTGAAAATCTGTTTTTCTTTTAACCTTGTCGAATTCTTTATGCAATATACAAACTAGAATAGAAGCAGAAACAAATGATAGAAAATAGCAGAAAATAGTAGATAGCTTGTCGTTGACTCGGCTGTTGCAACTGCCTGAATGTGACCAAGTCATAGAGTTGGTCTTGTTCTACTCGAATGTGATCGAGACAATGTTAAACACTTTATACAGACGATTCAATGGAAATAAACAATAATTTAACCGACAAACGAGTTCACACCAACAGTTAACGAATCTTTTCGCAGAGATCAATTTGTATTGCCATCAAAACTTGCACTGTTACTTTGTCATCGACACTTGATGAATCTAAATTTTAGCGTAATCAATGTACCTTGACCCTAACCCACTTCCAAATCACCATCAATTCGAATCTTGGTAATTTTATCTTTTGTTTGTGATCCATGTTTGAAGCTATTAAAAAGCTTTCCATTGAAGAAGATCCACAATTTGTCTTCGGAGTTGAGAACAGACAGATCAAAGCTGAAAAGTCAGCTGTGTTTTTGTAGTTTTCCAATTTAAACTCATGAAAC